GGGGTGATGTAAGGGTTTATGTGGGCCTTCAGGTTTTGCGATTTCGCTTGGCAGTGCTTAAATTGGTCGCCTCCCACTCCCTGTCCCTGGGTCACGATCCCTGCTGCTCTTGTTCCGCTTGTAACAGTAATGTAGGGGCCTTAATAACTACCTTTACTGTTTTGGGGTTCCTTATTAGTATAATGGCCCCAAAGCCCTATGATAATTATTAAGGCCCCTATAATATATGTTGTGGTTGCGCGCATGCGGCTGTGGACCCTCTGTTGCTCAAGCATCGCATCGTGACCGAATCGCATGCTGAAAGTCGAATCAATAACCCTTGGAAAAGCTAGATTAAGCCACGGATACAAAGAGTTGTTGCTTTTGTTTTTTGACTGGCCCCAATCCTTGCCCCTTAGGTTGCTACTTTCCACATAGAGCATTACCTCAAGACGGCAACCCTAAGTTTGAACCCTAAGTCGCCCTGAGTCGTCAGGGGCTTTTTGCAGATGCTTATTCTGAGAGGCCTGCCTGCACCCTCGCCGCTTCAAGAGCCACGTTCACGAGTTTGTGGCTTCTCACGACGCCTCCTGTAGAGGCTGTTGCAGCCCAGCATATAGGTACACCCTGCAAGGATCCAGAGACATTCCCCACAAATGCACACTGCCTCTACCGGTTTGCGTGATGAAGTTTTCGGACTTTCGGGCTTTGCCAAAGTTGTGAACGGACTGCTGTTCAATTTTTTTCGGAGGCCAAGGGCCTACAGTTTAGCTTAGTGCTCCAGGCTTGTAGAGTGCCAGCATGGCGCTGAGTGAGGATGACTTCGAGCATCTGCTCCTGGGCTGCGATGCCCTCTCTTGTGTTTAATGTAGGAGCTTAATACTTACCTATACTATTTTGGAGGGTTCCTTATTAAAGTTACAGTATAATGTAGTCTAATGGGCTCCAAAAGCCTATTCCGACTAGTAAGGCCCCTATGTTGATACTTTGGGAATATCCAGAAATTACATTGTTAGCCCTTTCCATGACCCGAAAGCTTCATTTTCGCAACCTCAGGACAACTCAAGCGCCCTGAAACTCCAAGCCATCTTAGGCTGGGCCAGCTGCACACTGCTCACGTGCTGGAAGTGCAGCGGCTGAGGGAACAGGTGAGGAGGGTGTTGCCTAGGGGCTTCAGGGTGAGGATGTAGATAAAAGCCTGCAGTTCAGGGTTTCGGGTCGTACGTCAGAGGTTCTGTGGTCAGGGTGTGGTAAGGTGCAAGAATGAGTTCTGGGTTCTTTTCATGGAACTTCTCCTTGAACGGGAACTCCGAGATCAGAACCCTAAATGGTATGCTTTATGCCGCACCTAAACCCTGAGGCTTAATTCGAGTGCTGTAAGTCACTGCTAAGGCCTAAACCGGTCATACCGATGCCTATACCCCCAAAGTCCATATGTGCAGCGTTCAAAACCCTTCCTGTGGGAATTTATATACAACGTTAAGATTGGTTGGTCCGTGTCAGCTGGGGTTCGAGCGGGAGTGGCGCATCAGTGAATGCCGAAAATCCCGGCGCATCAGCTTCTCGGCAGCGTGCGTCAGCAATGTGATAGCTTCGGCGATGATAGCACCATCTTTTTCGAACAGCATGACAGAGGGGATTTGAACACCGCACATCTTGCCGTTTCTAAAGGTCTCATATGGACAGCATAGGGCCAACCACAAGACCTCAACATACCAGTAGGACCTACTGAGTAGGTTATAGGCCGGCGTTCTCCTTGCGTTACGTAGCCCTAGAAGAGCACCAAGACACCCACCTAAACCCGTCAGCCCGTCATTTCCCTCCGTCTCTCTCTACAAAGATGTGAATGTGTGGGTGTGTGTGTAACAGTGTAACGTCGCATACTTGACAGAGGCGGTCTTTTTTTCGCAACCCAAGGCCAAGGCCTTCATAAAGAGCGCTGAAGGAGCGGCCCCAAAGCCCAGACAACGACACCGCAGGTCCGGGGCTTCCAAAGAGCCAGCTCCAAGGCTCGCACTTTAAAAGGCTTTCGCGGGCATTTGGGGGGCTGGGCTGGGCTGAAGTATGTGGGTTTGGGGGACTTGGGGTCGGTTCTGGGACCCTCACCTTCGCCCTAGGGTCCTCGGGTCTGGAGTCCAGCCAGGGTTCAGGGGTTCCAGTGTCGGGGTGTCCGGACTCTGTACCAGCCTGAAGGTTTGCTGTTTCCGACGTTGACGAGGTGCGGGTTTCAGGTTACCTGGACCCCAAAACTATGACGAAGAATGGCCGTTTATAGGTCTGGGGCCATTCTTTCACCTACTTTTCGGGGGTTTAGGGTAGGATGCAAGGACTCGGGCCATGGGTCGTTTGTTGCGGCCCAGGATTTTATGGTTCTGTAACACCGACCCTAGCCATAGTGAGTGTTTTTGTTCACTCATTCCTGCGCGGACAGCCGCAAATGCCGCTGAGTGGGTACACGTGCGAGGCAGTGCTTGACCTTGAGGCTTCAATCCTAAGCCGCGAAGCCCCATTACGCAGAAGCCCCTTGCCAAGGCCCCTACACTCTACACCCTTTAGAATTCGATTGAAACCACCCAAAGACGTTAACCTTCGCGACACTCAAGCCAAGGCCCCAAAGCACAAATCCCCAAACATCCCCGAGTCCGTACACAAGCGCGACCTAGCATTACTACTCCAAAGGGTGGCCGAACAAGCTTTGTTCTAAACTTTTGAGAAACCTTCCAGCCCTACTCTTAGAATCGTCACGGTCACTATGTACAACGCTGAGAAGCCCAATATATAAAGAAAGCCCCATGCAGCTCTCTGGGAGCCCTTATACCATGAATTCTAAAGGCCCCTAAACCCTAAACCCTAAAGGCCCCTAAAGCCTAAGCCCTCAAAGCCCCTAAACCCTGAACCCCGAAGCGAACGAGAGCACTCAGAGCCCGGCCAGGAGCGACTGCGCTCCGAGGCAGAGGCGGAGGACGAGGTCCGAAGAAGCTTCCAGGAGGAAGCTGGGACTTTGGGTTTGGGCTTTCGGGGTCTAGGGTTGAGGGTTTAGGGTTTAGGGTTTAGGGGTCTAGGGTTGAGGGGTTTAGGGTTTAGGGTTGAGGGGTTTAGGGTTTAGGGTTGAGGGGTTTAGGGTTTAGGGTTAAGGGGTTTAGGTAGGGGTTTATTGGGGGGCTTTAGTATAGGGGCCTTATTATAATTAGAATAGGGTTTTTTTGGGGTATATCATGCCATAATCATAATAAGGAACCAACCAAAATAGTATAGGTATTTATTTATAGGCCCCCATATTAGCTGTTTTTGTTCTGAACCTTGCTCTTGTCATGCGCGCCACTGTCGAACTGCATCTAGCTGAGCTTCAAGCCAGAACCCACCCTCTTCCGTGTGTGGTTGAAAGCTTCTGTGGCTTTCAAGGAGTGGGCAGATTCCTGAAGTTTCCGCTGAAATTCAACGTCATGGGTATTTCGTAAACCTGTTCTTCGGCCCAACATGACAACCAGATCCAGCCCAAGACCCCTGCTTGGGCTAAACTGGCAAACTGAAGCTCCCAAAGCTGCTGTCTAAAGAATCAGCCCGGAAGCTGCCCAGAAGCTGCGAGAGGACATGAGAGATGTTGAATTGAAAGCTCGTGAACTCCGAACCCGAACTCACAGACCCTGCACGCACCCTTTGAACGCTATCCGTCGAACGTTTTGGTGCGACTTAGGAAGAGATACGGGCCGACTCCCCAGACGAGCTGGAGGTGGACTCCAAGGTACTTCGTCCAAGTACACAGCCAAGGATGGGTAGTTCTTCACGTGGGAACGTGTCTCAGCAACCTTACAAATAGTGGTGCGCTCTGTCTGCATCTTAGACTGGACACTGATTTGGAAAGTCTGGTTATCGGGCAGTGCTTGGAGAAGATGTTTGCGGGAGTTGTCAGAGGTCTCGTAGGGACTTAGCGGCGATTTAGATTGTTAAAGGGTTGTATGGGGTGTTGTAGGGTTGTGTGTGTGTGTGTGTGTTGGTGTTTGCATGGTTCACATGGGTCTCTAGTGTAAGATGTCTGTCACGATGATCCTGCAACGTATAGAGGATCTTGTTCAAGCTGATGAAGTTCCACGGTTCTTGTAGATTTCTACAAGCATTTGTCGGAGCCACAGTAGCTGTTCTGGCTGTTGTGTCCGTTCAGTGCCGGCGCATGATCGTCCTACCCGCGATGCGATGTGTTCGCATGCTAGGAGCGTTTAGCTTGAAGGGGTCACGGGTTCGAGGGGATGACTCCAAAATCGCGAACCCATCAAAATGCCCAATGCCAAAGCGCCTAAACACTCAAACTTAAACATGGTCAGACCCCCAAAGCCCCCACCTCCCAGCCCCAAGCCCGAAGCCTTATCAACTCTAGAACCCCAACGAAGAAGGGCCTTCCCCTAAGCTCCTGCGCAGGTCTGGAGCCAGGGCAAGAAGCGCGGCCTGAAGAAGCAGAAGAAGTGGCGATCTTCCTCGGATTTGCAGTGGCAAGGCTCCGGGAGCCTTGTTTGAGATTTTGGGGTCTGAGGGTTGAGGGTTCCTCCTTTAGGGGTTCTGTGAAGGGGTGCTGCGGGTCTAGGAGGGGAGCCGGGGAGCTTTACATAAAAGACGGGTTTAGTTTAGGGTGTTGGCGAACAGTATCTCGATGCAGTTATTGACTTCGGTTTTGGAGGTTGTGCTTTGGGTTAAAAGGGGTGCTTCCGGGTTTAGACTTTTTGTTTAAGATTCCCCTTCGACCTCAGCTCTTCCGGCTTTGGAGTTCCCCGCCCCTCCCCGAAACTTCAAGCCTGAGCCCCCGCACAAACCCACACCTCAGGCCACAAACCCTCCAAACCAACGACCCCAGACCCCAAAGCCGTGGCAAAAGCAACCCCTACATCCCAAATTCAAACCCTAAACCCTAAACCCTAAACCCTAAACGCTAAACCCAAACGAAGCCCTAAACCCAAACAGCCCCGCTGTCTGGAGGGCAGCTGCGCCCCTTTCTGGCGAAGTGCATCAAGCGCCCGGCCGTGGACTGCACCATGAGCGGCTCTGCCCAACAAGGGGAGGGGCCCTGGGGCCCTCTAGGGGCCTAGGTGGGCCCTGACTCTCAGGCTGTTCTGGGCTTTCCGGAGAAGGGCAGGGGTTTTGAAAAGTGGCTTTGGCGTTTATTCATGGTGTTTGGGCGGCGACGTGTTTGTTGTTGGGGGGTGCGGCAAGCCCCCGCCCAGTGTCTAAAGCTCACAGTTCCTTGAGACCGGGATCCCTGACCCGCTGCATTTCCGGGCTTCGTCAGCAAGTCGACCGGGTGATATTTGGAATATTTAGGAGCATGTGGATTCGTGCTATTGAGGGATTGGGGCTTGTGGTTGAAACTCCCCCAATACCCCGAAACGAGGCTTCCTCATCTTCTGCAACGCCTTGGTGTTTGCCGTGGAGGCCCAATACCGCGGCTTCGAATTCGCGGATGCTGCGAACTTCGGCGGAGCGTCGAACGGCCAGCAGAAACTTGCCTGCACACGGGCTTCAGGCTGAGGGTTTAGGCTTCGGACTCCGGGGTGTTGGAGTATACTTGTAGGGCTCGCTGTTGGGACTTCGGCAAGCTTCAGCTCTAGCTTGGAGTTTGACCTCGGCCGTCGGGCTTGCAAGCTCTCTAAGCCTTAAACTATACACTCTAAACTCTAAACTCCTAAACTCTCGAAGATTCCCCCGAGCTCTTTCAGAGAGGCTGTGGCTCGGTGTGGAAGGAGTCTTCGCTACCCTGGAGCTGGCCTTCGGCTTAGTCTTCGCAGGATCAGGAGACCTAGTCACCAAGGTTAGTACTGTACCGCCTTGATTTGGGGTTGCAAGAACCCTAATCCCCTACACCTGAGCCCCAAAGAAAGAGCACTGCAAGATCTACGAACCCTATTCCCCCCGGCGAAAAAAGCGCACACACACACACACACATACACCACGAGGTCTTCGGGATCGTCTTTACCATCGAAGTCTGCCTGCGGCTCTTTGCAGAAGGCCTCGGCTTTTGGAGGGAGGCCTGGAACTGGCTGGATGCACTGGTGATTTCCGTGTCTGGGCCCATGAGAAGCCCTTCTTTACAGATACACATATAACATATATATATATATACAGTTATGTATGTACATATGTAGAGTGAGTGATTGATGATTGTAGTATGATGAACACCAAACCTGTTTCAACTCGGGCTGGCAGTTCAACAGTAGGAAAAGATCTCCCATGTTTTTGAGGATTACTGGCGAAGCTTATGTTTTTAGGGGATTGCCGGGGAAGCCTAGGTGTGGCTGGTGGAGAACTTGGTGGAAGATTTACCAGTGAACAGTCAGATTCTGCGCTTGGGCCGTATCTTCCGACTGCTTCGGTTGCTGAACTTGGTCCGCAAAATTCAGGAGTTTGATCCGCTCTTTTTGATGACCACAGCTATCCGTAGCAGCATGAGTGTGCTTGGCTGGTCCATGGCCCTTCTGTTCGTCTGCCATCTTTTATTGGCGCTGGTGGTGCAGCAGATCTTGTTCGGCTACTACTTCGATGCCGAATCAGACGACCCGGAAGGTCAGCAACGAGTCTTCATGTACTTCGGGACCTTCACTCGCTCTTTCCTGTCGCTGTTCGAGCTGACTCTAGCCAACTGGGCTCCGGTTTGCCGCGTGCTCCTGGAAGAGGTCAATGAGTGGTGGGTGGTCTTCTGTCTGCTTCACAAGCTTACCGTGGGCTTCGCTGTCGTTGGTGTCATCAACGCGGTGTTGATGCAGGCAGCTGGTGGGTTCATGCGGACGGTCGATCTTCGAATGTAGCTTGATGTTCTGACCTTATGATGCAGTCTAAAGCCGTACTCGTATTCGACGCCAGCATCCTGACACCATGTTGATGCAGCTACAATGACTGATGACTGATGATGGCAGATGTGCCAGAGTGCTCTAGCCAGTGCCGTTGGGAAGCTCACCAGACCGGACCATAAGTTCGAACCACAAGCTCTCGCCAATGAGGCATTCAGACAGACACCCGCATCAGCTTGACGAAATTATGTCGTTTTTAGTGGATTGCCTCCCATGCCAAGCGTAGAACCAATACTAAACTCTCAACCATGGACCCCAAGTCCCCCTTTCCACAGCCTCGGAAAACCCTAAGCTAAGCCCCAAGCTGACCTCCACTCAGCTTTGTTAGTTGCGCCCTCTGAGTTGGGACGCCAAAGCCTCCGCAGGAACTCCGCAGCTTCTTGAAAGAGAGAGCCAGAGGGGTTCAGGGCTTAGGGTTGGGGGTCTAGCACGTCGGATTCACGGGCACGAGTTGATTGTTGGCTTTTGTGCGGATGCAGTGAAGCCGGACAAGCAAGCAAGGGAGAGTAGCCGCGAGCAGTGATTTGTTTACATGTAGGAGACCTTCAAAGTCGCCTACCTCGACGACACCGCCGCTTGGCTGTCTTGGTTTGAGTTCATAAAGGTTCGGGTTTTAAATCGCTTATTCCTGGATGATGATTTCTGTTGTCCATGACAGTGCAAGAACAGCAGATTGAGAAGCGTACCCTGAGCTCATATTTCAAGCTTATCTGAGATTTTGATCTTGGTTTTACTTGTTGCGCAAAGGTAAAGACTTGGAAGGACTAAGTGCTCTAATAAGGCCGTATAAGCCCTAAACCCTAAGCCCTAAGGTCATGGTCCGCGAGAAGATGCGGACGATGCGCGCCCACGTGGCCAAGATGTCTGAGCTCTTCCACGAAGCAGACACTTCAGGAGCCGCTTTTGGGGGGTTCCTTATGATATCTATAGTATAATGGGCTCCCAAACCCTATTATAAGTATTAAGGCCCCTATATTACGTTCCGTTTAAGGTTCTTTTACCAGGGGTTCATTCGTCTTAATCACTACCAGGGTTTCACGTAGGGGGGCCTATTAAGGATTACAGTAGGGTTCTGCGGACTCACATACCATTAACATAGTAACGATTCAGGCTTCGACGGTTTGGGGTTCATGGTGTGGGGCTGAGGGTCCAGGGTTTAGAGGCAGGGGTTTAGGGTTTAGGGTTTAGAGGCAGCCATAGGGTACTGTTAGATCTTCTTGGCTGTATAAGGTTTCATTAGGTATAAGGGTTTGCAGGGTTGCCTAGGGGTTCCATATGGTCCAACAAGTTTAGGGCCATACCCAGAGAGCCCAAGAAGAATACACCAGCGCAAACAATAACTCTAGCTATTTTACGGGCCTAAATAATTACCTAAACTATTGTGATCTATCGTGGGGGTTCCTTGCCCCAAAACCCTATTCTAATTATTAAGGCCCCTATATTACGGGAAGTTCCCTGAAGTACGGGGCCTTTCGCCTAGGGCTCAGTGTTTGGGGGAACTGCTGTCCCGCTTCACTGGCAAACGCGTCGTAGCGGCATGAGTTGTTCAACATGGCTGCCTGTTATTCCTATGATCGCCTGACGATGCCCACGATTGCTACAACTTCCAGAATGCTTTGCATGATGGTTCCATTTCCCAAAACGGTGTGGTGCGGCTCCGGGTGTGGTGCAGTCCACATGTTTTTCTCTTCAGTTTCCACAGTCCATTACCAGCACCATGCAAATTAAGCAGACGCTACGAGCGAGCATTCCGGGGGTGCTTGAGTTTCGGGGATCTAAATTCCCAGTGTGGCGAAATCCGGATGGGGCGGACTTGTTGAATTGCTGGCCGGTTCGGATGCGACGGAGGGTTTCCTGCCCCGTCGGTACAATGACGGCCTTTCACATCTGCCTCAGGGTGGATCGGATGCAAAGTTTCTTCGAGTCGCGCATTTCTTGTCCCCACAACCTTAAGCATCCAAAAACTCTAAACCTCCAAACCCCCAGACGCCCCAGACGCCCCAAGAACGCCCCTCGAAGCCTGAAAGAAGGAGACGGGAAGCTGGATCTGAACGAGTTCAAGCAAATCCTGAAGAAGCAGGAGGCGAAAGTCTGGCCGAAAGTCCCCACAATCAGAAGCCCTACGCCGCACGCCCTACACTTCCCAAGCCTGTCAGTCCACTAACCCGCTACGAATCTACCAGCTGTTTCTCAAGAGAAGCAGGCTGTCGAGGGTGCTGAGCTTCCCATGCTAAGTGAGGAGGACACAAGCACTCAGAATTCAGCGCGGACAGCGTCTAATCTAGTCTTGTCATCTGGGGCATCCAAATCTGCAGTGATGAAACCATGGATGCGTTGCATCATGCAAGATCTTTCTTGCAACCCTAAGCCGTCCTAGACTCCTAGACAATAAGCCCCTAGACCCAAACCTTAAGAAACCTGAAGAAAGCCGTGGGAACCGAGGTGAGGGTCTGGCTTTCGGCCATGGAGTTGGACGTCAGCCATCCGGAGGACCACAAACTGATGCCTCGAAGCCCTGGATCCTTAGTGAAAGGTTCCTAGTGCAGTTTGCAGGGTAGGGAGGGTCCCATGAGGGATTCCTTACAGAAGCGCTCCCAATTCAGATGCTTATGATGTGTTACGGATTTTTTTGATGAAGGAGTCTTGTTGTCTTTGGACACCTAACCCGCGGCTGATCCCGTGCTCGGACTTAAATCTATAAGGCTTTAGGACTGTGCGTCTTTGGGGTTGCAAGGTCCTGAGCAAGGATACTTGAATGGTCCAGCCTGTGGTCTGTGATGAAGGTGGGTTTGTGGATTCATGGCTTTCAGCGCGCAGGATCCAGGTCAGGAGATTCGTCTTGCTCTCGTCTCGAAGGCCGGGGTCTTGACCCGTCTTGAGGCTGGAGCTCCAAGGTGATGAACCTCTAGGTCTCTTCTCCTTCAAATTCTGGGAAAACGGATCTGAGTAGCTTTGTGCCTTCGATGCTCAGATGCTTCCAACCCCTAATATAGGGGCCTCATTACAACTACAGTATACTATGCCCCAAAACCCTGTTCCAGCCCCTTTCGTATGATCCCCGGAAAGGAGCTCTTCAAGATGTTGAATACCGCCGGGGACGGCCGGCTCTCTGCAGACGAGCTCGTGCAAGGGGTCTCGCGGCTGCGCGGCGCCGGGAGGGCACAGGAGGTGCCCAAAAAGGGAGTCGGTCTAGGTTTAGCGTTTGGGAGGTAGAGGGTTCAATACCAAATGCTAGCCTCGATCGAGAACTCCGTGAATCCTGAAACCCGTAGAACAAACTTCTGGACCCGAGCTACACTTACAAACCCACACTTCTAAGCCTGAGCCCATGCCCTGGAGGTGCGAAAGATCCTGGAGACCAGCGAGTACATGACCCCTGCATGGGCTTTTCAGCATGTTTTCAAGTTTTGGGCTGGTTTAACAATAGGATCGAGCATTTCGGATGCGATTTTTAAGGGCCCGGTTCCGCTTTTCAGTGGGTTTCGGCTGTTTTCCGCTCCGGCTTCCGCAGTTTGTTGAGCCATGTTGCTTCGCAGTTCAACCGCGCCGAAACACCAGCGCATGCTTGTGTGGGGGATTGGAGATTTGAAAGTTTGGGTTTGGTGGCAACCCTAACTATATAGTGCAATTTATCCCAAACCCTCTTCCGATTTTTGGAACCTGTTTCTGATAGTTATCCAGTTATCCTCAACTCCTCAGCCCTGAACCCAAGCAGGAAACGGATGTTGGCGGACATGTCCAGAACACCCGGCGTGTATCGGAATAGGTCTGAAGTGCCCTGGCGGCGAGAGGGGACTCGGAGACCATAACCTCGGAAGCACCTCCGGTTGTCTAGGGGCGTTCATAGGGCAAGTTGAACAATTAGACGAGTGATAGTAGTCCATGGGATTCCGTAACATACTTATCATAGAGTATACCGCAGAACCCTATTCTAGTTGTTAAGGCCTGCACCTGGGTTTCATTGAGGATTCTGTAACGGCTTGGTAAGGGATTTTTGGCGGTCTCGAAAGAGGTTCGATAAGGGTACAGCAAGAGGTTCCATAAGGGTACAGCAGAAGGACTTACAGGGTTTCATCACGGTAGCTCCCTGGACTCTGAAATGGAGTTCTTTTTTTTCAGGCCGGGGGGCAGGGGCGTAGAGCAGTTTTGCTAGCAAGAAGATAACCTATAACTTGCTATATTCGCCTTCATTCGGGGGATTTGCCTGAAGTGCCAAAGCCTTGGGCGTTTTTCGGACCGGAGTTTCTCGGGTTAGAGTTTCTGGTTGTTGGAGTTTCGGGTTGTCCCTGCCTTCCAGAACCCTAAACCCTAAACCTTGTCAAGACTCCGGCTCCTGAGGTCTCCAGCGACCTTTCGATGGACCTTTCAGGATCCAACCAGCTCAACTCTGTGGGGTTCACGGTTTAGGGCCTAGGACATACGTCCTAGGTGCTAGGTCCCTTAGGAGTGTTTCGATGTACCGTTTCCAAGGCCTTGAAGGCTGATCTCAGTTGAGAGCTTTGTAGTTGAGCACTCTGCGACTCCGCGCCGTGCGCGGGGCGTTTCGAATCGGGGCAGGTCCTTGAATGATCGTGCCGATGTAAATTAGTGCAGCAGCCCAGCCGCGAAAGTGGAGAGGGCGAGCCTCACGTGAGAAACCCAGGCGCTTGCGCTTGTAGACACTGGGATGCAAGGACGAACCCGGCTCGAAAATGACACATGGATGCTTGATCTGGGAATTGTCAATGACAACGAATTTCTAAGATCGGAAGTCCTTGCAACAGCGCTATAGAACCCTTGAGACTCTATCCTAGGTTTGACAGCCGTAGGGTCGTTGGAGGGTGTACTTAGTCAATCAGGTCATGCCTCAGAGTGGGTTGGTTCCGTGGGAAGGCCAGTGTAAGATACTGACCACTAGTTCAATCCAACGTCGAAACGCTTGCCGAAATCATGAAACTACTGCTGTTGCAACGACATGCCTCATGCCACCATTGCTGAAGCGCTTGTCCTCTTGGGTTGTTCTCGTTCTGGGCTACCCTGACCCCTGAACCCCATAAACTAGGCAGGGAGATCGGGAGATGAGTTCCATGCTCGCAGGTCACTCGTTGGGGAGCCGCAGCCCGAGCTCGGGGCAGAAAGCTCGATCAAGGCCGCTGGAAACCTAACCCTCACCCCATGCAAGGACCGCACACACACACACAAAAAACAATGCGGCAAGAATAAGTGTGTTCTGAGGACTTTGTTGATGACTACGGCCAATGTGAGCAGTCATGCTCGACCATGGTGGGCCTGGAGAATATATAATCGGTTTCTACAATGTTCTGCCCGCTATAAGCCCAAGGACGACTGTAGCATTTCTCGTCAGGCCTCGGGCTAGCACAGAGGGTCCTCTGATGTACACAATTTCCTCCGGCAGCCTCCACACAGCCACACACCCAAAGTAATCGGCATCCGCTGATGATGAAGATGATTGATCTCATCACCAGCTACACACCCAGCCATCTGTCGGGCTTTCTGGGGCCTCAGGTCTGGGAGGTAGGAGCTTAGGTTGCAGGGCTCGAGGTGTAGACTGCGCTGATGGCGCTGGATGAGGACTTCGAGCACTTGCTCCTGGGTTCTGACTGGGACACCCTTTCAAGAGCTCCTTTCATTCTTGTTTCATAAGCATAACCCCTATAGAATAGTGTTGAACCCTCACCCTGGTCCCGAAGCCTTCAGCTCACACGCCCAGTAACAAAAAAAATCCCAAGCCTCGAAACCCCTGCGAAACTCCAGACTGCAAGCCATCTTAGGCTAGGCCAGCTGCACACTGCTCACGTGCTGGAAGTGCAGCGGCTGAGGGAACAGGCGAGAAGTCGTGGAAGTTTGGGTGCCCATGAAAAGGGCTTCGGAGCTTCGGGCAGGAGCCTTGAGGTCTGTGAGGGGTTTGGTTTTGGGTTCTAGGGGTTTAGTTTTTACATTCAGGACTTCGTCAGCCATGTGGTGTTGGACTAGAGTTTAGAGTGGAATAGCAGGTTAGTTTCTGCCGGTATGGGATATCTGTCTACCGTTCAGGGTTTCGGGTTGTGGATCAGTGGTTCCTGGAATCGGATGGCAGGATTTCGGTTCTTGAGTCGTTTGTTGTTTGTAGGAGTTGGCTTTGAACGGAAACCCCAAGTGGTGCACTCCATGTAGCCCGACATCTATTTGTCTATCTTTATATCTCCATCTCTACGCTCTCTATCCCCACCTCTACTTTTATGTCCGTATTTCTATATATAGATATACGTACCGACATGTTTTAACATATTTTGGTTCACATCATCAAAACCCGAAGCCCTCGAGCCGAGAGTGTAGGGGCTTAAATGATTACCAATACTATTCTGGGGGTTCCTTATTCTAATTATAGTATAATGTGCCCCCAAACCCTATTCTACTTATTCAGGCCCCTAGACCCTAAGCTCAAATAGTAGCCCTTATAGTAGCCCGTTTGAAGGGACCCTATTGCAGGAACCCTCGTCTAAGATCATTACCAATACTATTTTTGGGGGTTCCTTATTCTAATTATAGTATAATGGACCCCAAAACCCTATTCTCCTTATTAAGGCCGCTAAACCCCAAAACCCATATAGTAGCCCCTATAGTAACTCCTTTTCAGGTGAGGCCCCTGCAGTTACCGACTCTAGACCAAGCAGAGGTCCGGGTCTTCCAAAGGGCCACCTCCAAGGCCAGACCTGGTCATGGGGGAAATTTCGGGGCCTTTGGGGTTTACAGAGGTTTACGGTTTTTTTGGATTTAGAGTGTAGCGGTTTCTTGCGGGCTTCAGGATGTAAGTTTGGAGGATTTTGGGATGGCGCGACTTAGGGCTTTGGGGTGTGGTGGTTGCGGGTTGTATTTTGGGTTTAGGTTTTTTGTGGGTCTGGCCCTCATCTTTTTGCTAGACGTCAGTTCCGGGTTTGCATTACCGTGAAAGGCTGCCGTTCTCGATTTTTGATTTCAGGTAAGAGGTCTAGGTTTGAGGTTTTTGTCTGAGGACGTTTGCTGTTTTTCGGATTTGGGTCATTATCATATTGGCGACCATGTGTCACACATCCCTCTTCGCAGCGCGTTGTTTTCGCCTAGGTCTCGGGGGTGCGAATATTGGGGCCAACGGACTTTACGTGTTCCTGTAAACCTGTTCCTTCCGGGCCTCGGATTTGGGCCCGGGATTTTATGGCTCAGGCACTCCGACTTTAGCCGCTTAGCCATTCTGAGTCCGTATCAGTGATTCTTCCCCAGACAGTCGCGTGCCGTTTGAGTTTTACCAGCTGAAGGAGTGACTCGGCGATGCGAGGGAAGCCGTGCGAGGTAGTGTGTAACCCTGTAGCAATGAAGCCACCTTTTACGCAGAAGCCATTGCTACGGCGGGCAACCCTAGACCCTTTGGTTCAATTAAAATCACCCAGAAGCATAAACCTGAAGCCGAAGCCCCTGGACCCCATGCCCTGAGCTTCGTGAAGCCGAAAGAAGCGCAACATCGGCGCCTGCAGAGTGAGCGGTGCTCTTTCAGAGGCTTCCCCAACAGGTGCAGGCAGTATAGAAACACGTCCTTAAAGCAAGTTTCTACGACCGCTATATACAACCTTGAGAAACCCTGAGCACAACCGAAAAAAGTATACTTACAATACTTCCAGGGCCCTATATGTCAGAAGAGGAGCAATCCGAGCCCGACTAGGAGCGAATGCGTTCCGAAGCAGAGGAGGAGGATGAGGTCCGAAGAAGCCTCCAGCAGGAAGCTTGGAAGCAGGGCTTGAAGACGTTTGAAAGGTGGAGGGGCGTGTTGTCGTTGGTTTTGGAGGGGTGTAGTGCTGCAGAGTTTGTGGTTTAGCGTCTTCTTGCTTGTACCTGTCCTGAGCCAGAGCTTTGTGTGTCCGCTGAAATTCCGTGTCATGGGTTTTCTGAGTTTTCTTCAGGGGTCCTGATATCAAGGCTCCTATGTCCTGGGCAAACCTGCTGTCTGCTGCAAGAAGACGACAGAGTTCTTGAACCCCTTGGCCGTGAACCTTAAATCCGAAGATCACAACCCAAACCCTGAGCCCTCGAGTCCAAGCCCCTCAAGCGCTTCGGAAATCACGTATCTATGGTGCCTCCCTAGGAAGAGATGCGGGCCGACCTCCCCGACGATCTGACAGTGGAGTCGCCCTCCAGCGCCGTCTCCAAGGCACTTTTTCCAGCACAAAGCCAACATGAGGGTACCGATTGTTGCGGACCTCCTAAACAAGCGTGACGTATTCTTCCGACAGCCAAACCCTGGTTTACAGAACCTGCGATGTGAAGAGGTGTGTGAGGGATTTGTCTCAGGCTCGTCGGGGTGCAGTAAGGACTTCTTCATGGATAGCATGAGGGTTCAGGGTAGGCTTATGGCTTGGTGTGTTTTCTTTATTTACGGGGTTTCCGCCAAGGCAATTTAATCTTGTCTTAGAAGGGTCCTCCAAGGACCTGGGATCTCAGACTTCTGAAGTTCCAGGGTTCTTGCCGATGTGTGCAAGCGTTTGTCGGGGTTCATAAGGGCTGCATGGAGGAACCTCAGTAGTTATTCAGTCCTTGCTGCTCCTGTGCCCACATGCTAGCAGCGTTTAGATTGAAGGCGCCACTCTTTCGAAAGAGCCCCAACCCTAAACTCTAGGCCCTGAATCCTCAGTCCTGCAGTACTACACAACCAAAACACATCGAAAGAACGCTCCCTCGCCCTCGGTCCTGCAGAGGTCTGGAGTCAGGGCAAGAAGCGCGGCCTTAGCAAGCAGAAGAAGTGGCGATCTGCCTCGGATCTAAAGTGGGAAGGCTCGCGACAGAGAGAGACAGAGGGAGAGAGTCTCATACAAGTTTTGGGCTTCAGGGCTGAAGGTATTGAAGCGAGTATGATATTGGGTTTGACGGGTTTGGGGGCATGCCATAATAAGAGGATACTAGGATGGCCCCTTTTCACTGCCATGTGCGGGATCAGAACTCTTCGCATAAGACGAGCGATGGATGGCCCCTTTTCGGGTACACTGAAGTCGGAGGCCACAAACAGCCCAAACTCTAAGCTGTATACATATAGGGGCCTCAATCATTACCAATACTATTTTTTGGGGGGGTTCCTTATTTTGATTATCGTATAATCTACCCTAAAACCCTATTTTAGTTACTAAGGCACCGAGAGTACATGGATCCTCACAATCTCAAGGCGGCAAGTCGATTGTGGTTTGGGTTTAATATGGGGGCCTTAGTAACTACCAAAACTATTTTGGAGGCTCCTTATTATAATTATAGCATAATGGGCCCCGAAACCCTATTCTATAGGAGCCTTAGTCATTAAGGCCCCTATATTAAGCTTAAGCCCTGCTCTGGTCTGGAGGGCAGCTGCGGCCCTTCCTTGCGAAGTGCATCAAGCTCCCAGCCGTGGACTGCGCTATGAGCAGCTCTGCTTCCTTCCAGGTTATTGTTTTGCAGGTCGTAGGTGCGGGTGGGCTTTCGGGATTATTTTGTTTTCGGGTTGGCGGGCTTGGCCCCTGCCTAACCTGTGATGCATGGAAAGGGCACAGTTCCTTGAGGCTAGGACAGCGAAATTTCATTGGAATCCCAATGTGTGGCCACAGATGCAAACCTATGCCCCGAAACTGTATTAATAACCTTGCTTAGACCAGCACATAACATACCATGATCATACATGTCGGAACATAGGGATTCGTGCTGGATTGGAGGGCTTGTGGTTGAAACTCCCCCAATACCGCGAAACGAGGCTTCCTCATCTTCTGCAACGCCTTGGTATTTGCCGTGGAGGCCCAATATCGCGGCTTCGAATTCGCGGATGCCACGAACTTCCACGGGGCGCCCAACGGCCAGCAGAAACTTGGCTGCAGATGCTTGCGGCGTCACGGGCCTACTCCATCTAGGGTCTAGGCTTCATGCCTGTTGGAGTATGGCAAGGTCTCGCTGTTGGGACTAGCTGCAAGTTTCAGATCTAGTTCGGACTTTGACCTCGGTTCCTAGGCTTGCGGGGATGATTCAGCGCAGCACACATCTAGAGTTTGCCAAGGGGGGGGATTCCGAAAATAGGGGACCCTAATACAGTACCCCAAATAGAAGGATCCCTGTTATAAGGACCCCCCAAATAGCAGGATCCCTAGTATCAGGAGCCCCCCCAAGCTAAGGTAGCCCCCTTAGTTTCGGAAACTCCCGGGTCTGAGAGACCTGGGTCCCGAGCCGGGCCCGTTGTGTCGTGGAATAGGTCGGAGATGAACAGATCCAAAAAGAGATCCCCTAAGGGGGGTTTCTATAAAGTACGCTTCAGTAGTTCCGGTTTAGGGTTTAGGGTTTTTGTGGGGGG